ATTAAATATCATTTATATTTAGATTTGCACTTTTAAATTTACTTTAATAAATCTGAGAATTTAACAGGATGAAACTTTAAAAGTATCAGATTAATTTAAAAATATTTTTTAATCTATTAAAATGCTAGAGTTTTTAAGTTAGAACTGAATTTAATATAAAACTTTAAATATAAAAATAATACTTAATTTCAAAATTACTTTGAGTTTCTTTTATGATTTTTTTTAATTTGTGGTTTTATTTTTTTTCAATATTAAAATTTAGGGTTTAAGATTTTTTAAAAAGAAAATATAGTTTAGTTTTACAATTTAGTTTGAGAAATTTTCTTAAAGATAACTTTCAACTTTACATTGATGCATGGTTGAATCATAGTCAAAAAAAGCTACCATTTTTGAAAATTCTAGTCTGCTAATAAAATAATGTCGTAGCCTAAAAGTAAACAAAATCATTAGTGGTTGAAATTAAATTCTGAAATTATTTTTTCTATCCACAAATATATATATATATATATATATATATATATATATATATATATATTTTATACTAAACACTTGATATACAAAATTATATAATATAAAAATTTACGGTAGGAACAAACAATCAATCCAATGAGTTTGTCTTAAAATATATTTTTAAATTAAAACAAAATAATTATATTTTTTTTAAATACTACCCAGGATCATATATATATATATATATATATATATATATATATATATATATATATATATATATATATATATATAAAAGAAACTATTAGTCGATTTTCTCATTCCTAAGATAATCAAAACCATTGATACTTTTGCATTTTTTTTAATCAAATCAGTTAATCGAGATAATTTTATAAAAATTAAATAAATTGTTAGCAACAAAATATATATTTAATATAATTACATACTTAAGAACTAAACTTAAACAAATTATCATTTTATATATGAGTGTATTTATTAAATAAATTCTAGTGAAAGAATATTTTAATCCTCAAATAAGATTGGCTCCTCCTAAGGATGCTCATAATTTATACAAAAATGTAAATGTTAGTTTAGTAAACAATCTTAGATGAGTTTTACAATGGAAGAACTTCATTTTCACTTTTGAGCTGATGGTACTTTTTGGCAGACAGATGGAATAGATTTGCAGGACACAATTACCTTAGCAGTACCCTTATTTCATGATACTCAAATCAATTTATCAGAACTACGCAAAAGAAGGAAAAAGAAAATCAATATACAGATTCTATTCTTCAATTTTATTGAACAAATAGACATGTATGGAGGGGAAATCAAATATCTGCATTCTTCTGCAGATTCAACAGTCAACACCAAGCCCACTATAACCTAATAGAGAGAAGAGCAAGGAAAACTGGGGCGACGACTATATAAAAATGTACAAGGGGGAATAAGTACAAATTGGGAACTCAACCTAAATCCACAAAAATGCTAAATTACAAATTACAATATTTCTAAGATTAATAATGTTAAAAGATCACAGGTACACAAGGGGCTAGCATGATGGGGGTTGAAGTTGCTTAAGCCTTCTTACAACTTGTTTCATGGTAGGTCTGGTAGAGAGAGAGTCAACAGTACACACAACAGCCAAGTGAAGCACCTCCACCAGATCATCTCCGGGTCCTGCTTCCCATAACCCAGCAGTGAAGAACTCCTTTGCCCTCCCTTGCTTCAGAAGCATGCACGCCCATGCCACTATGTTGAACCCATTCCCATAAGAAGAAAATGAAGGGTCCAATGCCTTCTTGTCTGAGAGCAACTCCAGAAGCACCACACCATAGCTATAAACATCAGCTTTATCAGAAACACGACAAGTCATGGCATATTCAGGAGCAACATACCCAAAAGTTCCCGCTACACCAGTAGTAGCATGTGTCTCTGAAGTTCCCAGAAGTCTAGCCAATCCAAAGTCCGATAGATAGGCATTGAAATCATCATCCAACAAGATGTTGCTGGGTTTGACATCACGGTGAAGAACACGGGGAACACACTGATCATGCAGATAGGCGAGTGCACGGGCTATGTCCAATGCAATCTTGTGAAGAATTCTCCAGTCTACAGCCCTCGTGGACCTCTCCTGGATAAACTTTTCGAGATTACCACCTGGCAAATAATTGTATATGAGAAACATTTCTGTTTCACAAGCATGATAGCCAATCAGAGTGACAAGATTTGGATGATGAAGTCTCCCAAGGGTCTTGATCTCAGCATGGAATTGTTGAACACCTTGGAAACGTCCAACTGCTAGACGTTTGACTGCGACTAGGATTCCTGCTGATATCTCTGCCTTATATGTTGCCCCGAAACCTCCACTCCCAATACAGTTGCCAGCATTGAAATTTCCTGTGGCTTGGACAACATTTTCAAACGTCAATGGGACCCCAATATCAGTAAACACTGTAACTTCTTTTCTTGTAGAACCAACAACCCTGGACCTTGGCTTCCACTTCCGTGCGTAAAAGAATAGCACAATCAGGGCAATAAGTACCGAAACAATGGCTGAAGCAGAAGTTATAGATGCTATTTCAATAGAACTGAAGCCATTCCGACTCTTCTTGCCAACAGTTTGTTCTGATGCCGTATTATCCGAGTTGCTATCAATCGGCCCTGGCTGATTGCCTGATGGTACAGTTAGAGATACTCCGCGGCAGGGACTTAGGTACGGATTCCCAACAGCACTGCTGCATTTAAACAAGCCACTATTGGAAGGCAAATCTCCAGATAAGTTGTTGAAAGACACATTGAATGCTGAGAGTGAAGTGACATATGCCAAACCATCAGGAATATGACCAGAAAGATTGTTGTTATTGAGTAAAACATCAGTCAGATTTCTCATGTTCTCAATGGCCTTCGGAATTTCACCAGTAAGAGCGTTTGAAGAAAGGTCAAAGACTTCCAAAGAGTGCAACTGCCCCAGGCTGGTTGGAATTGAACCATTTAGCTTATTACCAGCCAAAGAAAGAAACTTCAGATTCTTCATCTGGCCAAAGCTGGTGGGAATCTCACCTTGTAACTGATTCCTACTGAGGTTAAGCGATACAAGAGAGACCAAACTCCCTAAATCAACGGGAATCGGTCCTGCAAGCTGATTTCCAGACACATCCATAAATTTCAATGATCTGCACAGTACACTAATATTGGAAGGTATATGACCAGCTATCCTATTATAACTGACATTTAAAAGCAATGCATCTAATCCATTACATTTCTCAAAAAAATATGTAGGAAATGATCCTGTAAGATTATTTCCACCGACAAGGAACGTGTAACTGTTCTTCTTCCCCAGCCTGTCATGTGGTATGGATATGGGTAGCGACTGAATGCCAGTAAAGCTGTTTTGCCCAAAGTTGTGAACAACAGAAGTACCAACTCCCCCCATTGATGTGAAAAGAGATCTCCCATGAACCATTGACGAAAAATATGATGCATATGGGGAGGAAACATTCTCATCTTCAAACAGGTCTCCATTCCAGAAAGGAACAGGGAGACACACGGTATTGGAGAAATCAGGAACTGAACCAGATAACATGTTCCCACTGACATCAAACACGCTCATACAGGGAACGCGTAGTTCTTCAGAAAGCACCCCAGTAAGGTTGTTTCCACTTAAATCAAGAAAATGCAGCCTCTTGCAAACGCCAAGCTGGTTCGGAAATTCCCCACTGAAAAAATTCTGAGCCAAATTTACCATCTCCAAGCTCTGACAACCACACCAATTCCCCTGAAAAATGCCTTCCAAATTCACCATGGGAGCCCACAATATCCTCAACTTCGGAAGTGAAAAAACCTCCACTGGCATTGACCCTTCAAAATAATTCACCTCATCATTCACTGAACCCAATTTCCCGAAATCACCGGCAGCATACCCGCGCACATCAAAGAGATTTGACAGCACGAGAACCGACAACTCTGAGCAATTCCCAAGCTCCATCGGCACAGAGCCACTGAGAGTGTTCCTGGAAACATCCAACACCTCAAGGCTTTTAAGCTTCCCAAGTTCACCAGGAATACCCTCTTCCAACAAATTGGAATACAGCAAAAGCGTCCTCAACTTCCCACAATTCCCCAAACTCACCGGAATCCCTTGTACCAGCAAATTCCCAGAAAAATCCAAATGCTCAAGCTTCCAACAATTGTCCCCAATCTCTCGCGGAATAACCCCACTGAGCTGATTAAATGAAAGATACACCCCTCTAAGCCTCCCAACAAAACCAGGCACGGAACCATTCAATTCATTACCAGCCAAATTCAAAACCTCCAAACTCTCAATAGACGCAATTGAACTAGGTATCTCCCCAATAATCCTATTAAATCCAAGATTCAGAACCCTTAACTTCCTCAAGCCGCTAATTCTGAAGGGAAGATTCCCACTTATTAAATTCCCTTCTAAATCGAGAACCTCTAGCTTTTCCATTCCCCAAATTGCTTCGGGGATTTCCCCTTCCAAAGCGTTGAATGGGAGAGACAAAACCCTAAGCTCCGTGAGCTCGGTGATGAAATTGAAGTTCAAAGAAACGTTTCCAAAGAGAGAACCTTTACTACCTTTGCATGCTCGCCGAATTCCGAAACCGTAGAGGGGGAATTTAGCAAAATCAGAGCACGGGTGCGAGGTTCGGTTGCCGCCGTTTCCAGTGACATTGACGGCGACAACGCGGGAGTTCGCGTCGCAGATGACCCCGGACCAGGAGCAGTGTCCGGAGTCAGCGCCGGTGGCGGAGTTCCACGTGGAGAGAACGCCGGCGGGGTCGGACAACGACGCCTTCAAACGGAGGAGCGCAGATTTGTCGGAATCGATCGTAACGGCGTCGTTTCCCGACGTAAAGAGAACCAAGGAGACGAGGAAGAGAAATTTCATGAGGGAATTCCATTTGATCACTGAACCGCAATGAGAAGAAGTAGACGAAGAAGAAGAAGAAGAAGAAGAAGAAGATGATGATGAAGAAGAAGAAGAAAGAGAAAAAGATGAAAACATCTCACAGAGAGAGAAAGTTGAATCAAACAGAGAAACCCTTCTTCCCAGCTGAAGGATTGAAGCTGAAGAGAAGAAGAAAGAGATTTGGAGGAGACAAGACTATGGAAATGGTGGAGAAGAAGGAAGGAACGACTGGACTCAACTCAACCACAGTGCTCACTTTATCACTACTTTCCTCACTTCCAAATAGATGCACAGAAAGAAGTGTTCAAAATCAAAGTACATTTCGTTTGGACCAAACCTACGTATTTGGTTTAGCGAGTAACTTTGTAGATTAATTAAAAAGGAAAATAAAAAAGAAACGAAGAAGAAAAGAGGAGGTAAATAAATTAACTTTAGCTTAATAAATAAATTATATATAAAATGTAAAAATGTGATTTTTTTTTTTAAGATTTATCTAAGATGATAAAAAGAGAAATGACATTATGGTTATAAAGTAAGGATAAAAAAAGGAAATGATATTGGTGAAGTGTTGTTTGGATTTATAAAACTTTGGTAGGAGAAACTTTGAAGTTTGGTTTATAGTTTCCCTGAGATCGTTTATTTCATACTTCCATTTCGAGAATCATAATATTATCTGATGTTTGGATGGACAATTTTTAAGAGAGTGTATGTTTCTAACCACAGAAATATGAGGGGCGAAGTAATGCGATGAGTTTACGTATTTTAATGTAAACAAATTATAAAATCGTGACTAAATTTGTTTGCTGAAAAACACGAAAAGTGATATATATATTATGTTTATAATCGATTATGTATGTAAAATATTATTGTATATATAATCAATTATACCACAAGAATATAATTGATTATGTTAAAAAAATTAATAATATATGTATTTCTTTTTTATTAAAAATTATAATAAAATAATTAATAATAATAAACAAATCAATTTAATTTTTTTACTATTTCTTTTAATTCAAACAATTTCAATTTTTTTTTCACATTTTCCATTTCTCAATCTAAATAAAGGCTAAAAATAATTTATTTTTATAAATGTGAAATGTTTCCTAATGTCTAGATAATTTTTAAAGACATTAAAATTAAAAAAATTATGAAAATGATTTGATTTCATTTAAACTTAAAAATAAGATTTTTAAACTTTTCATATTTTTCTTCTTCCGTGTATTTTTTATTATTATTTTTAATTAATTTTAAAAAAAAATCTAACATCAATATCGTAACATTTATAATATAAATGCAATCTTATTTTCAATAATTTAAATTTAGTACTTTATAATTTTTAAAATAATATCATAGTCAAATTTTAATGATGTTGAAATATAATTAGACAATGGTTGTAAAATAAAGTGTTTAATATCGAATTAATTTAATATGAAAGAATATGATAAAAAATTATTTTTAATAAAGAGGATGTGATAAAAATAAAATAAAAAAAATCGAGAAGATATGTGAAGAAATTTTATATCAATTAAAAATATAATAATATTTTACAAACAAATATAAGCATTATTTTATAAAATTGAATCAAATATTTTATCATAGATAATCTTAAGTAACCTCAAGTGATAATTCTTCTTAAAATCAATTAAAAATTTCTATAAAAATAACAATCTTAGTTATACTAAAATATGTTGACATTTTAATTGTTAAATATTATTTAATATTTAAATAAATATATTTTATGATAATTAAAATATTATGCTAAAACAATAAAATTTAATAAATTTAAATTATTTTATTTCAGATAAAATACTTAGATGTCTTGTTTAAATAAAATATTTAAAAATATAATATAATATAAATTTGATGTATTTAAATTTGTAAAAATTATAAAATTTCTGATAAAACATAAATTAAACTTAATTAATTACAAGAAAGATGTGAATTCCCATCATATTGGGCATGTTGGATGATGATGAACAAAGATTTGGATTTGCTTGTAAATTAGGCATAGTCATCAATATTCAAGAGAAATTCTTGTTTTTTACTTCTTGAAACACAAATGTCTTTATATTAATTCTTATGCGCAAGGTGCATTGGTATTTAATAATATTTAATGTGAAATTTATTAAAGTTAAGATTAAATTCTTACAACTTCACTTCTCTGTGCTTAGTTAAAGTTCAAAGGAATGATTACAAGTATTTTATATTTTTTTTAATTTAATTTTTATATTTCCACATGGAGAGAAAAGTTTTATGTTGTGGGGCCACGGGACATGTCAGGTGGGTGGGGACCAAACATAGTCAAGAGACCACCAAAGCACATCATAATATTCAGTTTAACATGGTTTGCGCTGTTTGTTGCATGCAAAATATAAAAATAGGTCGTGAAAAAAAAAACGTTTTTTTTTTTAACGTATAGTTTTTTATTGTATAATTTGTTTTCATTTTGATGACTGTAAGGTATATATATTTGTGAGAATATGGAAAAGAGTTTTGTACAAACAAAAATTACACGTTGATATTTATTTTTTCTGTTATAAAAAAATATTATATCTATTTTAAAAATTATTTAAATCTTTTTTTATTAATATATTATATAATAATTAGAAAAAAATATTATTATTATATTTTTATTAAATTTAAAAAAATATTAAATTTATTTTGATAGTAAAATTCTATTATTATTTATTATCTATTTTGTTTCTTTTTTTTAATTTTTTATTTTAGTTATAAATTTTTATTATATGTTTTGCTTCTTCTTTTTCTTTTTCTTTTATTTTATTTTATTTTATACAGAGTAACTTATTTAATATATACAACTATTTATAAGTTTTAGCTAATTTAAAAATCAAAATTAAAAATAATTTATAAATATATTTTTTTAATTCTTCAACACATTTTTTAAATTAGATAATATTTTGAATTTAGATTTTAAAGACTTTGAAATTTTATAATTATTTAATATTATTACCTGTAAGTTTATTGTCTTCAAATGATATTGATAAATTAAATTTGAAAATAAAAAATATATTTATTTATTTTCATTTTTTTTTCTTTTTAGTTATTATTTCGCCCTTTTATTTTCTTTTTGTTGTCATATACATTTTTTTTTACATAAATATGGAGGTGTAAAACGATCTTCCTCTTTAAACAAATAAAATTATAAAAAAATTTTGTGGTTTGAAACATGACCATTGTATTTAAATGAAAGTTTTTATTTTATTTTAAAATAGTATTTATTTTTTTCTTCTTTATTTTAATTATGCATTAATATTTGTAAAGTAAAAGAAAAATTGATTAAACAAGTTACGTATCTCAAACGTCACCATTGCATAAGAATGAAAGAAAAGAGTCAACTTTGCTTTGAGGCTTTGACCGTTTCCCACGTACCCACGTTCTTCACAACTGGCTCACACACACTTCTTACTTTAATGCATATTAAATTCCATCAAATTTTATATATATATAAAAAAAAATCACCTTTTCTTAGCTATTTTTTACTTATTCTTTTTGAAAAAATAGATCAAATGTATCATTAAGAAAAAATAACATAAAATAATTATTAATTTAATTTTATAAAGGAAAAGTTATTTACTTTTTTTAAAAAAAGTTCTGTGAAGAAATTTTTAAAGAATTGCCTTTTTCTTCTTCTCTCTTTTTGTGCCCCTTCCTTTAAATCCCATGGTTCTTTACCTCTTCAACTCATTTTTTTGAATTGAAAGAAACATAAAATCTTATTTTAACAATAATAATGTAATAAGAATGACTATTTTATTAATTATAACATTGGTAATAAAAAAATATAATAATTATGATGATAATAATTAGGGATGGCAAAACGGGTCGAGCCGACAGGTCATAATATGGCGGGACGGGTTGGTGTTTTCAGCCCACCAGCCGCTTTGGCCCGCCCGCGCAAACCCGCCAACCCATCGAGCCAACCCGCAGGACGGGACGGGCCAGCCCGCCTAATTAATAAAAAAATAATTTTTTATTGTAATAAAATTAATTATAAAGATAATATATAAAGTTAAAAATTTTTAAAAGAGAATTAAAAAAGTTTGACCCTCACAAAAAATATCCTTCCTCAAACACAACCTTCTCTCTTGTTCTCATTGTTCATCCTAAGCATCGATTATTTTTATCCTTATGACTTAAACTAAAAGTGTAAGAATTACTCAATCAAGAATAATGTGAAGTTTTATCAAATAAAAAAGATATAGATATTTGAATTTTTTAATATAAAAAATATAAATTTTATAAGTTTTAACGTTATATATATATATATATATATATATATATATATATACATATATTTGTTATTATTTATTATTATGTAAATTTTATTATTGTTCTAAATTATAATTTTTTAAAACAATGTATTGATTTATATCATTAAATTGAAATAATATATATTGAATTATTAACAAACAAATAATAATCTTATTATTAAACTTATTTTAAAAAATTATTTTTTCTAAATTATGGTGAGTCACCACTAACCCACCCTCGACGGGATCGGCCAAGATCTACAGATCCATCATGACTATATCGGGTCAGCCAGCCCCACCCCATTTTTAGCGGGCCAAAGGTGGGACGAGCCAAAACGGGACGGTCCCTAATAATAATATAATAATCAAATATATAAATAATATAAACATAATCAATTTTATTTATCATTATTATTGTTATATATATCATTGTTTATCACATCATATATGAGTTATTTATGTATAAATTTAATATAAAAAAATAAATTTATGATAAAATTTTATATTTAGAAATATAATAATATTATAATATATAAATGATTATAATGCATAATTTATTTAATTATATATCTTATTATTTTTAATATGATATTTTAGTCAATTTTAACAATATTAAAATATGAGAATCCATGAAAAAAAAGGGTGTAATAAAAAATCTATCAACTAGATAATATCTTAGTACATAGATAAGTATAAATTTTACCTAATTAAATTAGATTAGTTTTATAAGATAAGATTGAGTCATGAAGTAATCATTTCTAAGATTCTCAAATATTTTAATCTTAATCATATGTAATTTTCAATCAAAAGTCACTAAAAAATGTAAAACTTTTCTCCCTAATTTCAGGCAGGTAGAAAAATGTGATGTGTAGCATAATGCAAAAGCATATAAAGACAAATGAAAATCAATCTTTGACCTCATATGGCCTTATTGTAAGAATGAATTTCAACTTCTGAGTTCCCATTCAAAGGTATGATACTTAGATCATAAAACTAATGAAATACATAATTAACCGACATTTATCAAAATTGAAAGAGTAATAAGAATTAGTTCAATCCTCTAAAATTTGTTTTCTCAAAAGAAATCTATGAGTAGGAATCGTAATGCATATGCTGCAAATGAGAAGATTATAATTTATATACCTAAGAGGATATGAACTGTTTCAATTTTACCAGAATAACTATTTTCAAGGAGTGTTGGATCGATTACAGAAATTTATATTAGATTGATTTGTTGTCAGAAGGTTATTGACAAAACAAATTCATGTATGCATACCATTTAACATTAAACTCATTTTCTTCTTAACCATTTACACCAAAGCCGTGCCTTGAAGCTAAGGTTTTATGCTAGAACTACCTTTTCCTCTAGCATTTTAGGGAAGATATGCATAATGCAGAAAATGATTCCCATGTAACCAGCAAATCAACTTATGTCCATCCTTTGCCATTCCAACATCATTTGAAGACCTGTGTCTCTCAAAAACATGATGAACAAGAGAAGCAGAAAAACCAACTTTTTCCACTTTGTTTTGGTGCCTTTTCTGATTTAGAACTAGGAGTCTGCTGCAATGCTTTATCTGGCTGCTCCTCCTGATTTTCACCTTTCTCTTGCTTTTCTGACTCTACTGTTGATGAACTAGTTCTTCCTCCTTCAGCTGTCAATCTGAAAGAATTCATGAACAAGATGATGGTCAAACGAAGGATATCCTACCGCTAGAAAAAGTACATTTTGCACCTCCTATATTATGACATTAAAACATGTTAGTGATCAATGCTAGAGAGTACATGGATTATTAGTAAAATCTTTAGAGGTGGGAAGAACCAGTCTGAATACTATAGATTACTCTTGCTTACTTAGATTCCACAAACAAGAATTTCTATCTGATTTGCATGCATTTAATATCCACCCTCCTTTGGGAAGTTACAACATAATGATATAACACAGATATATATGCAAGATGTGTGGAAACTCACATAGGAAATTGAAATGAACGTGTGCTTATATCACTTTCCACCGAACGGTATGCAGCACTTTTAGGTTGCCCATTAGGGATCTTGGTTTCTTTACTATGATCATCTGGAGTTTTGTCCAACGTTGTTTCATCTGTGCCAACTTCTGACCTTTCTGTTTTCTTGGGGTCAACAACTGAACCTGAAGTTTCATTTGATTTTTTCTCGTGGTCTTGCCCCTGAAGAAAATCTGAAGTTTCACTTAATGAATACGATGACACAGAGTATCTCTCCATGTCCACATTTTTGTCTTTACAACTCAACTCTTGAACAGTTGGCAGTGTTGAAGACAATTCCCCAGATCTGTTGTTTAATGCAAAAGCATAATCCCTAGAGAAACTGTTGTTTCCTATGTGTATGCTGAATAGTGATTCATTTGAGGCTACACTCCATTCCATAGGACTTGTAGGCTTATTAAATATAGAAGAGGGGATTCTGTTTGGGTCATACCCAGTAGAATTCATGTGCTGAAGTGGAGGAGATTGGGTTACTGACCCTCCTTGGAAACTCCACACAGGAGAGCCATACGAACCATACTTGGAATCAGCATTGTCTATGCCATCATCAAAATCTATTGAAGATCCAGAAGATCCACAAGAACCTGAACGCTTGTGTTTGGGATGATCTTCATCCTCAGGTAGATCAAAATGCACTTTTAGCTTCTTCCCACTTCCTTTCTTGCTCTCATAATTCATAAAAGCCATTAACTTTGGAACTCTGCAAAAGGGAAAGACCAGTAGCACTTTTAGACCACAATTTTGACAGAATTTCTTGAAATGTTGCATACAATTTTGGTAATAAGCCAGCTTTTGTAACAAATTCTTTTTTGGAACCAAAAGAATTATAATATAGGCCATGCACAAAAGAACTACAACACATTACATTCACCCTCATATAAGAGATTATTTTCATCATTAGCCTACAACATATATCTTCTTGTAAAATAATAATAAATGAATACCCTTTCCTTAACTATGAAATATAAAACTTACTAAATTATTTAGAATGAGTTCTGGAAACCTTGTAGCTTCAATTTACAACGACCCTTCAATTAAAAATTTGGTGCAAAGATGAGGTTTATCATGAGATTAACCTATTTTGCACCATAATTCTGGAGATGGAAAATCACAAACAATACCAAGATGAAAATTTAAGAAAAATAGATAGAAGCTGGCATGCAAGGAAATTTTAGGACATGAAAGCTGGGTTTTGGGGTGTATGGGTTTGTCTAGGGAAAAACACAGAAAAGTTTGACAATGCAATGATAAAGAAAGGCAAGGAGAGGATCTAGGGAACTACTCCGTTAATGTAACAGAGTGATTAATTATGACATATCAGAACTCAACCAACTTTGGTAACCGTTAGTTACACCTTAGATGGTTAATGCCTAACGAAAATATTTCATCAAACTATCAAAGATTATATTAAAAGAAAATACTATTTTGATTAGCTTTGCAAGGTTTCTGTAATTTTTAAGTCCATCTGTAATATCATTCACATCAAAGAATCTATTCATTCAAGTCTTTTTTTGGTGACTATCTACGCATTCATACTTAATATAGCTTGTTTGAATCCGAATAAAAAGATGTAGCTTATTTAATTAATAAAGGCTATTATATCTGATCTGATCATCATATGATGAGCCAAACGTGCCATTTTTGGCACATAAACACATTTGGTCTGTAAACGTATTTCTAACTCTTGAGAAATCTCAACCAAAAAAGCCAAAAATAGGGAGTAGCTAAAACAAAACAAAAGGGCAATCTTGAAAATATGATGACAATGGAGGGTAGTTAAAGAACTAGAATAAAAGAAGTTATCCCTAGATTTGTGATTGTCATTGATACAGGCTATATTATGGATGAGATACTTAGCCTTATTGCACAAAGCTTCAGCAGCATGAAAGAAGCTTAGCACAAAATATTTGCCATGGTCGGAATTTTGCAGTCTCAGCCCTTCAATGTTGGATTTCGTTCCCTCTTCTGTAAGCTATGCCCTTTTCATATCATAGACTTTAAAATTTACCTTTGTAGCACAGAATTCCAGAAGGGTTGTCAATTTTGCGACTGAAAGAGAACAATTGTTGCCTTGTTGTTGCTAATGATTATGCAAAGAAGTTGCAGTTTTTAGAGCATTTACATTATTCATTCGTAATCATATTCGAACCAAATGTAAATTTCACTGCTCAGGAGTATTTGGTTTAGCTTATTTTGAAAGAATGATCAGGAGAGATTTTTAAAAGAATAAGAGCTTATTTCCCTTAAAAAATGTGATACCAAACATGTACTAGACTTAAATTATAGGTAAATATTGCCCTATGTAGAAAAAAAAAAAAAACAATGTCTTCTGTTTCACTAATTGCATTAGTCTTCTGATCATTTGCAGCTGCAGAAAGTAACTATGTTCAGAATACCGTAATCTATATATCATCACCAGGCCAAATTAAATGTTTTAGTTCTTCAATCCATCAGAGACTGCCTCAGGTTACAGGTGATTGCAGAAGCAAAACCAAGGTACATCTATGCAGTATATTCTAAAATCCTAATGTTATTATTATGAATTCGTGATTAATATACAGAGATTATGTTACTCATTTAGTAAAAAATTAACACTCAGTTCAAAGTTTCCCAAGTCCTATGAAGTGCTACGTGAGTTGAATGCTCTTATTTAAGAGGATATCCAGTGTAGCAAGCATCTTACTAACATATGTGTTCAACTATATAGTAGAAGTTTACTATATAGATTATAATACCACAAAACTTCGTCCACCAGTATCCTGAATAAAACTAGTTTCTGTCCTAAGCTGAGATAAACCTATGACAGGCAAAAATAAACTATATATAGTAAAAGTTTAATTTTCATACATGATTCGTGAAAGATATATATATCTACCAACTAGCAGTTATCTTATGGATATAACTTTTAGAGTAGTTATTACAGAAGTCGATTGAGTAAAAAAATCTTTACACTATCGATGCGTTCTAATTAAATTGATACAGTAAATCCAAGCATATTTTCTGCTTTTGTTCTAAAATTAAGTAGCATTTGATATCAGGTTTTTGTACGGAGGAGGAAAAGGGCAAATGAGAGAACAGAAACTTATGTGTTATTAGAACCAGGGCAAGATGAGAGGTTTGTTTCTGAGGAAGAGTTGAAGGCAACGTTGAAAGAGTTGTTGGAAAATTGGCCTGGCAAGGTTCTTCCTCCTGATCTTTCAAGATATGAGGACATTGATGAAGCTGTTTCTTTCTTAGTGAGAACTGTTTGTGAACTTGAAATTGATGGAGAGGTTGGCTCAGTTCAATGGTATGAAGTCCGGTTGGAGTGATTGGAGGTGTTGGCTAGAATAACAGAGAAGATCTTACTCTCTTTTTCTTTTCCTATAAATTTTTGGTGAGAAAATTGTTGAAACTTATGGATAGTTTCATTTATCATTTTACCCATGACAGTTAACTTGGTTGCTTTTTTACCCAACAGGGTTAAAAACATTTTGATTTTCCTGGATGGGGTTAAAAAATTTTAATTTTCCAAAAATGAGTTAAAACGGGGAGGAAAGATTATTTCACCTTTAAAATCGTACAAAGTCCTGTTTCTAAACACTGATATTTTTTTTAATATGAAGCACGATTTTCATTTTTTTTCAAAAATACGTTTTTTTTAAATCTATTATTTAATAAATAATTATTTTCAATTAAATTGTTAATTTAATTAAAATAAAAATATTTAAACAAATATAATTAAATTTAATTCACGATATTTATATTAAAATATTATATGCATATATAAGATAGTCTTCTTATTTATATTTTTGTCTACGTGGTTGATTTTGCTCCTAACATGCATCAAGACATATCAGAAACATCTACAATTAACCAGATTCAAAATGAAATAGACGTACAAATTAGAAATAAAAAATAAATATTCTTTTTATCGAAATGAGGAATATAATGATACAAACTATCTATTTCGACAATAAATTTATATTTATTTTAAATAATATAATATTTTAATATAAATACAATAAATTAAATTTAATTATGTCTAAATAATATTATTTTTTATTGAGTTAATAATTCAATTTAAAAAAATATTTAATAAATAAATATTAAAAAAAAAGTATTTAAAAAAAACATAAATCGTGCTTTTAGAAACACAATTTCAAAGAATAAATAAATTAAAAACCATTAAAATCATGCTTAAAAGTGCAGTTTCAGTCAAATTTGAACTTTCACGGTTTCCACCTCTAAAAATCGTTTCCCTTACACGATTTATATTATTTTGGTAAAATTTAAAATTTTTTATCCCATTTAATAAAATAGAAATTATTTTAACCCCATTAATGAAAAAAAAACCCTTATTGCTGCAGCAGCCAGATCCTTTGGTACTTGTTTGGATAAACAGTTTCTGATAAATGTTAGGAAATATTTATTAATATATACTTTTTTTTAACACAATTTATTGATGAGAGAACCTTGCTTGATCTCATTTATTATCAATTTAATGTGGGAACTTGAGAGTTATTATTTAAACTCATAAAGAATTGTGCATTAAAAAGGATATTAAAAAGAATTGTATACTATGAAGAGAAAATATTTTTTTATTAAAATAAAGAAAAGAATAGTTGAAAAGAAAAAAATAGTAAGAATATTTCTATTCATTTTACTTTTATTTTGACAACATTTATTTTATTTAATGATTATGTATTTTTAATTTTTATGTCAAGTATTATTTTTTAGAATCAAACAATATGATCGATTTAATTTGTTATTTTTAAATAATTAAATTAATATAAAAATTGAAAAAATCGATAAAAATAAAAAAATTGATTGGATCTTTTATCATATTAAATTTAATAAAAAATTAAATAATTTTTTTAAAATATATTTTTTAATAATAAATATAATATTTTTATTTTTTTCATCATAAATTTTATTAACTTAAATAATAATCATTTTATTATATTTTCATCTTATTTTTATAATTATTAATTTTTTATTTTCATTATATTTTGTAATCTTATAATTATAGTTTCTTAATTATATTTGTTGCTGTTATAATTATTTTCTTTTATAAAATTATATATATATATATATATATATTAATAATATTTTTATATACTAAGATAAGGATTGTTAAAGAGCATAGATAGGTTAACAACTATTTTTAACCAAACAATTATTCTACATTTCTATTTAATAATATAATAATTATTATTAAACTTTTAATTATTATTATTATTATATTAAAATCAATTATAGATTAAAGTTTGAATGAATGCAGTTTTTTTCTAAATTATCTTGATCTATTCTATTACATGTAACCTCAGCTTCTCAAGTTTCAACAGAATCTGAAAATATAAACCTTTTTAATTATAAATGACAAGGACAAATTATTGTTACAAATTGCCACTATTAGAGAAGAAAATTGAGCATCAGAAACTTCTGGGACCTGAGAAGCTTATAATCACAGAACAGACAGTTCTTTAAGATTGGGAACAAAGAGATAACTCTCTTTGTCTGGCTCTCTAATGTTACATCATCCTTAAACTCCCTTTGAACCACTCTCACATGATCCATCATTTTGAGCAAAATTCTTTGAACCCCTCAAGTTGTGTTGATTTGCTCATCCATCAGCATTGGAAACTTGTTCTGAAAAGTGACCTCATCCTTCAGGGGCATGTCCAGAATCTGCAGCAGTTATGACATTGACACATACAAACACTATTACACTGTTATATTATACTAAACTGAAAATTTCAGGTACCCTAATTGAGTAAAGTGGTTGTTACAAAAGGTAGATGCAGAAGCAGAATGTCTGATCCTGCATTATTGGTGTGTACCTTTGGTAGATTTTTACCAGGTGGTAACACTGCACCACCACCCCCCCTTTTAGTTCTGGCAAGAAGGCCTTTGGTTATTGGTGACACCATCAAATCAGTTGGGCTTGTATATCTCAGAAAAATGAAGAAAACCATCAAAGTCATCATTTGCATGTTCTCTCTCTTCAAATTCCACAAAATTATCAAATGGTTCCATAAAATGTTCTCTCTTAAAAATTTAACATTTAAATATAGAGAATAACCAAATTCTAATTAATCAATACAATTTAGGAAGATTCCATGAAAAGACATCTCTTCATACTCTGGATATGTTGAGCTAAATTAAGAATTTTGACTGTTTTATAAATTTTATGAACCTAGTTCAATTCAACTAGATTTTTCATTCATATTTTTTTTCCATCAGACAGTAGCTGAGTATTTCAATTTCATGAAAATCACATCAACCAAGCCACCTTTTAAGTAATAAATATATAAATAATATTTGAAGAATATACATAATATACCTTTCTGGGTATTTGAATGCATTGGGGACTCTAAGACGATCTGGGGTAACAGGTTTCCGCAATTCGTTTGAGGAGTTACGATCATTGTTCTGCTCTTGCTCTTGAGCTGGACTTGGTGTTCTGCATTCAGGTTCAGGTTTCTGTGCTTGAATTGGAACTTTTGGAGGAGTTCTGAGCATGTTCTGTTTTTCCATCAGATTATTATTGTGCCACAGAGCAAGGAAGATAAATTTGTTGAAGTGCAAAGTTGAATCAGAATGAATGAAAACAGAGTGTGGGAATGAATGAGTCCATCAGAACATTGGAGTAGAAGATAAAATAGTGACCGTTCGAGGAATTAGGGTTGCAACGGTCACATTGTGCGAGAAATCACTACAATGGGATTCAAAACTTTTTGGTCCGTTGGGATGAATTATGTGACCTAATGCTCCAACACAATAAATAATTAAATATTTCAATAGTGTTAAAATATTTTAATTATGATAACAGGGTTAAGTTAAAATATTTTAATTACGATAAGTGGTTAAGTTGATATTATCTAATTTAAGATTTTAATTTATTACAATTTCTTTTTAAAAAATCGTTTGGATAAGAAAAAAAATATAAATTATTTATCTAGATTTTTTATAATATATATATATAAAATTCATTTATTAAATATTAGGTTATTTTTTATTAGTTAAAAATTTGATTAATTTTAACGTGTCATTTCAATTTGTTTTTTTATTAATTGAAAAAATATTTTACTTTACTAATAATATTTAATATAAGTATTCTTTTAATAACTTGTAACTTTTTTTAGTTAAAATAACACTTTCTTAATACTAACTTTTCTAACTATATTTTCTCTGTCCTCAAGAAAAAAATTACTTATTTGTATTTTTTTCCCCATGATAAATTTTCTTATTTTCATATTTTTTATTGTGAAAGATAATTGGTAATACATTTATTTTTGTTATTAGTTTAATAATGTTTTATAATGCACTAAATAATTTTATTATTGTTTTAACATTGTATTTTAAGATTTCGTATTGATAAATAATAAAATTTTCAGTATTATACTAGTTTTCAACCATTACTTAATTAACGTTATCAAAATATGACGTGTACTTGACATATTATATTTTTACTTTGTTTTAAACTTGATTAGAAATATTTTAAGATATAACATAGATGAAGAGTAGATTACACATTATTTGTAAAAGTAAAATTAAAAATGTTTATCAATAAATAAAAATGACTAACATTTTAATATTCATTATAACTAAAAATATAAATACTAAAAATTATATTTAATTAATAAAATTAAAACTTGTATTAAATACCATAAAACATATTTTTTTATTTCATTTTAAATTTATAATATACTTCATAGTATAATTTTATCAAAATACAAACAATTTAATAAATTAATAGTAAATATTTATGGATTAAATATATTTTTATTAATAATTTAATTTAATTATAATTAGATTGAATTATAATATTAAAAAAAATATTTATTAAAATATTATTTTAAAATAAAATAATTTTTTCTTGATAATTAATATAACAATCATATTTAGAATACCTCATAGTTATTATATAATATTTTTTTAAAATATACTATATTAAACAATAAATCAACTTATATATATATATATATATTTTATTTTGATAATTCTTTAAAATATATTATTTATAAAATTGATTATATATATATATATATATTTTTCTTGAAGATGAATTTAAATTATATAAATATTTTCTAAAATATTATTACTTTTATAAGTCAAACAAATTAATCCAATTACGTTATTCACAAATTAAACAAATTTAAATTAATTCATAATCTATTTTGTTAAATTCTTAATAATTTAATTTATTACCAAAACGTTAATCTATAGAAAAAATATTGTTATTAATCAAAATCTCATTTCTTATAATATTTAAAAAATTAAAAAAAAAGTCAATCTATACCTAACTTATAACCAAATTTTGATTCGAATAACAAAATGAACTCAATTAAATAATATATTTTTAGTTCATAGGTCAAACTAATATGCATACATTAACTCAACAAGCAACACTCTATGCTTTTAATTTAATGTGTACTTTGGGTAGTTCTCAATAAATACCTTTTTTTTTACTATTTTTTATTTTCAAAATATAATTACACTATAAGAAAATTATTATTACCCATTATCAAATTCCGTGGACAACATTTAAAATCTGTGGGGAACATAATTTTTTTCATAAATTTTCCACGACCAAAGTTGGTAAAAGGCTCCTAGGAAACTATATTTTCATAAAATATTTTATTCATAGAAATTTTTTTAGGTATGTTTTGTAGAAAATATTCATGAAAATGTTTCATATATTTATTCATAAAAAATTTCCACAAATTTATTGAGGAAAAAATTTATACGGATTTATCCATGCAAAAATTCTCACTAATAAGTTCATGAAATTTTTTCTCAAAGATATTATTTCATTTTAATTTAATATTATAACTTGTTTTTAATATTTTTTATTTAGTTTCTATGATTCAAATAATAAAGACATGCTAAACATTAATATTTTTTAATTGAGTTTTTATAGTTCAAATAATAAAACCTATTAAACATTAAAAAATTAGAAACAAAATAACATATTATCTAATTAGTTTAATATCCAATAATAGAAGTTGAAAATGAAATAAAAATGTCAAGGACGAGACCTTACTGTATTGACGATGACAAACCCTTGCAGTGGTATATTGACTCTTGAAACATAATGATGGCACAGTGACAAACCCTTAAAGTAACCTATTGACACGTCAAAAGACAAAACAATGACACCAAATCAAATTTAAAGTATTTGAAAAGTAAAAATAATTAATAATTTACCGTTTTTTCCTAATTTAAGATTCATAAAAAACTTATTCTCCACAAATATTTATTATTTTCCACAAATATTTTATATAAATCTATTTTATGTTTTCACCGTATTTATATTTATGAAAAATATTATATTATTATTTACAAATATTTAATTTTTCTCACCAATGTATAATTTTTTTTAAAGGACAAATTGTTCATGATTATTTGAGTTCCCTACAAAATATTTTTATGGAAAATTGATATTGGCCGTAAAAATAAATTTATGGAAAATATTTTATGGGTAATTAAATTTTTTTCTTGTAGTAATAATTCAAACTTTTATACTTGAAAATTATTACTTGCAAAAATCTGTGACAAAATCTGAATTGGGTATATTCCAGTTGCCTTGTAAGACCGTTTTTAACCACTGAAATATTTAATATAAAAAAGTAAAAGTTAATGATATTTTATAATTTTATAAAACTTAAGAAACCATTTAAAAACAAACAAATAAAAATTGAGAGAATATAAAGCCAGACAAGAAAAAACAAATATTTGTGAAGTTCGATAAAGTTATATATGAAGATAGAAATGAAAGTACTGGATCATCTCTCTCAGCCATAAATTATTGAAGAATTTTTTTATTAGAAATGTTAAAATTAAATAAAAATATATATTTAGTTAAAACTGTATTTTTTTACTTACACTTTAATAATTTTGATGAGATCACACTTATAATATATATATATATAAATAAATAATTTCATAGAATAATATTTTAATTGGAAAATAATATAATCACAATTTTTAATATAATAATACAATTCGATAATAGTTATGCATCTATTTCAACTCTTGCCAAACTTTCTTTTCTCATTCTTTAAAGACTGAAAAACAAAATTATTATTATTTATTTTTTCAACTATAGCACCCCTTATATAGAAAATATTCAGTGAGACACAAATTTCTCCCTCTTATTATTTTTGGAAAGTAAGATCAAAATCACTATATTTTAAAACACCATGGCATACATGTTTTTTATGATAAATTCACAAAAAAAAGAAGACCAGAATAAATAACATGAAATATCTAAGTATCACTGTAGAATATAAACCTAAAAAAACTAGTAAAGTATACACTTAATAATCAAAGGTCTCAGAAACAACAGAAACCTAACAAGAACATGAGCAACATTCCAACTGTGCTAGTGTTACCTTATCCAGCACAAGGACACGTGAATCCCTTGATCATCCTCTCACAGAAGTTGGTTGAGAATGGATGCAAAGTGCTGTTCGTGAACTCTGAATTCGACCACAAGAGAGTGGTGAGTTCCATAGCAGAGCAAGAAGATAACAGCAACCTTGATGAAGAATCAGGGCTGAAGTTGGTGTCAATCCCTGATGGGTTAGAATCTGATGATGACAGAAAGGATTTGCGCAAACTGTTTGACTCTATGCAGAACTTCATGCCAGAAGCACTTGAGAAGTTCATAGAGGATGTTCATTTGAAAGGTGAGGACAAAATCAGCTTCATTGTTGCAGATTTGTGCATGGGTTGGGCTTTGGATGTTGGGAAGAAATTAGGAATCAAGGGAGCAATAGTGTGGTCTGCATCAGCTGCATCCTTTGCCTTGCTTTACAAAATACCTTCTCTTATTGATGATGGGATCATAGATTCTGATGGTAAGAATGCTATCATACCATACTTTCTTATATTTGTTGTGTTAGATGATATATAAAGTTCTTGATGAGTTCTTCTGAAAAAGAATAGTTTAAATATGTTTTAGTTAATTAAATTTAAGGTTGTTTTTATCTTCAACTTTTTTCCAAGTTTATTAGATCAGATATTATAATATGCTATAAATTTATTACAATATATATGTCTCTTTCATCACTAAAATATTGTTAAAAATTTTATTTGCATTATCAACTATGTAATATTTAATATTTTTTTAATTTCTTAAATATCACTCTTCTTTAATTCCTTTTTAAACTATTCTCCTAAAAACGTTAATTTCTAGTGATATCATATCATAAAGTTATACCCAAAATAAATAAATAAATTCGATTATATTTCCTCTTTCTTTAAAATACAATTTTCTTTCTCTAATGAATATTTTTCGATTTCTACTCGTAATTCTTAAGTGTTTCGGCATCTTCTTATTCAATGCAAAATCAAAGTCTTAGAAAGAAAAAAATAAAAAGTAAAAGACAAGAACAAATATAGAATCAAATCTAATAAGCTAACAAAGAAAATAATATAAAACAATTTATGAAAAAGTTGTTGTGCTCTTCGAATACTTTAATAATAAAAATTAATATTAGGCTATTACTGTTAAAATAGTTTCTTAAACACATTAATGACACAAACTTTAATTACTTTTTCATGGAACTTAGAAATTTGTTTTGGGATTTAGCAAAGAATCCTAATGCAACAAATCCAACAACCCGGTTGTGTTTTAGAAATCGTCTCTTCGTTTAATTTTATTTCTTATATGTGGCTAGTTAAAGAACAAAAAATCAGGGTTATTTTAGTCAAAGTAATTAAAATGAGTAATGCTATTTAACACCTTTAATTTATATATATTTTTTAAATGGTAGATGCACACGAGTGATGTAGAAAGCGAAACATGTATCACATTGGTTGCATTGAGAACGAATGTAAAAAACATTCAATATAGAATAAGTTCTCACTGCACTGCACACTGATTTTTATCATCTCAAACACCCCTGCATTCCTCTTCACCTCAAATATCCTGTCGTCTACCACAGTGCTTGACCCATATGTTAGTAGAAAAAGTCATGGCTCCAGAGAGAATATATATATATATATATATATATCGAGAAAGGTGTTATTAAAAATAATCAAAGTTTGTTACTCTATTGTTATAAATTGTTTATAGATATTATATTTATAATAAAAAATTAGTTTATTCTAACCTCGCAATAAAATTGATAGTTATAAATGATTAAATTATTAATCAATATACCCTCCTAATTTAGTAATTGATTTTATACTTAAATCTTTATTCACTTCTTTAAATATTTGAGTATTTAATAGTTTTGTCAATATGACAACCAACTACTTCTTAATTTCAAGTGTTCCAATATCAACTTCTTCCTTCTTATTTCTTCTTTGATGAAATCAAATATTATTTCGATATGCTTCCTTCTAGCATGATCAATTGTGTTTTCGCTAAATTGATAGCTTTTATTATTGATCTTTAAAGTCATAACCTTCTTGGGTCTAAGAAAACATATTTAACATCCATTAGATGTATTTTCCATCCTTTGTGACTTGCAAGAGCGGCAACAATTTCTACTATCTCTATTCAAGTCTCTTATGCATAAACCTCCTTGGAATCAAAACCTTCTCTCCAAAATAAACCCTTTCCCACAAGTCTAGCTTTATACCTAACAATTACTCCATTTGACTTCAACTTAGTTTTATATACTCATTTCACACCTATTGATATTTGATTATTCTTCGTGATTACAAACAATTCTTCTTTTCATTGTCTCCCCCACTTAGGATCTTCCAATAGCATCTTTAAAGCACATTGGCTCTGGTTCTATTTCACCATAGAGAGCTAAATGAACCAAATCATTTTCATCCTCAGTTTCTCTAATAATTTGTCCAGATGTTGTAACTGTATCATCAATATTTATCACGTAATCATCGTTCAATCATAAAATTTTAATAACGTTTCTACTTTGTTTCTCGACCAAGATTTTGAACTTGACAAAATAATTAAAAACTTCTAATATTCTCTCAAGCAAATATAACCATATTTTTTTATTGAAATCATCGATAAATGTAACAAAATAGTTGTTTCACCAAGTGAGAATACTTCAAAAGGTCCACTCACATTGGAGTAAATTACTTCTAACACTCGTTTACTCCTAGTTTCGATATGCACCTTAAAGGAATTTTTCGTTTGTTTGTTTTCCAATTATGCAACTTTCATAGGTAACTTCACTCTTCTAAATTTGAGATAATCCTATCATTATCTCTTTCTCTGCTAATTGACTCAGGCTATCAAAATTTAAATTATCATATCTCAAATGCCAAAATAATATCTAAGACTTCTTGTAATCCAAATATTGTCTTCATCTTCACGCACTAACAACCATAACTATTCAAATTTTTGCTATCTAGCATTAACATATTGCCTTGTAATCAATTTCTTGTCATCGCCATTAAATTTCTGAGATCTTGAAGCTTTAATACCATTGTTAGTAGAAAAAGTCTTGGACAAAGAATTGAGAGAGAGAGAAAAATGATATCGAGAGAGGTGTTACTGAGGATGAAAGTAATCAAAGTTTATTACTTTACATCATTATTACAGATTGTACATATATACTATATTTTTAACTGAAAATAGAAAGTTAGTTAGGCCTAACATCCCAATGTATTATTAACCAACACCACAAACCTTGTACAATAAATACATCGTGGAAACCTGTTTAAACCCAACCAACTAGACACATTGTCACCACACAGGCACCTTGGCATGTTTGAAATCTTGGCGATGTAGTTGTGGCAATCAAAGCTAGTGAGGTTTGTTGGGAACACAAATGCAATACAAGATGAAAGTAAATAATAAGAATACAAAGAATTTACGTGGTTCAGTCAAAATGACCTACATCCACAACTGCACTACATGATAGTTCTTATTTACACAATTATGTTTACAATTACATAAGTATTTATAATAAAAGAATAAGTAAATGGGTCACGCCCAATAACCTTCACTACAAGAAATTTCTTATTTACTGACGGATATAGAGTCGTCGAAAAATAAGTGATTATCGACGGATTTAGAGTAGTTGTGGAATTTGGTCTTACCGACATATATATCCGTCGGTAAATGAATAATTAATTATTGACGGATATATCCGTCAATAAATTCGATCGGTAAATAAACAAATAATTACCGACGATATATATCCGTCGGTAAATTAATAATTTTAGTAAATGGACAATTGGTTGTTATTCGTCGGTAATTATTGATTCATTTAACAACGACTTTACCGACAAATTTAAATTATATTTTTAAATATCAACATTAAATTAAAAAAATAAATATTTAAAATTATATAATAATTACTTAATTTTAAATATATTCTAATAAACACGACACACACTTTCACCGTCGAGCGTGTCCTCACATCCAACATATAAATATATAACTATATAAATATATATAAATATATTTGTATTTGTATGTTTTTAAATGTCTGGTCTAGTGTATACTATTACATACCATTGCATACATTAAACTACCGACTACAGATGCATAAGAAACATTAGTCATTATTGTCTTGTCTTCATCTGTCTTAGGTGATTCCTCTTAAGTGAAGTTAAAGTGAACTCCCAAAGGTGTACTTACGATTTTGGTATCCTGCATATTGAATTTCTTTAATACTTTCCCAATATACTTCTCTTGAGATAATATTAGGGAACCTTCAAATCTGTTCCTAATGATATTCATGTCCAAAATTTGCTTTGCAATATCCAAATCCTTCATCTCAAACTCTTCAAACAACTATGTCTTTAATATATTAATTTCATCCCTGTTTTAACCTGTAACTAACATGTCATCAACATAAAGTAGTAATATGATATGGGATGAACCAAAATTTTTCATATAACAACACTGATCCATAACACACTTCTTGTACCTTATCCTATTCATAAAACTATCAAACTTTAAGTACCACTGTCTAGGTATTTGCTTCAACCCATACAAACTTTTGGTCAACTTGCAAACTAAGTTCTCTTTTCCTACAACTTGAAAACTCTCTGGTTGCATCATGTAGATGTTCTCATCAAGGTCACCATGTAAGAATGTTGTCTTAACATCTAACTGCTCTAGACGTAAATCATTTGCAATCACTATACTCAACACAAGTCTAATGATAGTCATTTTAACTTGTAGACCCCAAATCTTGCCCGGCCTCCAAATAAAGACCAGAAGACCTCCTATTTGAAGATGGATGAAGCCTAACAAGCCATTAGGAGAGACTATTAGGCCCCATACTAGGATAGGAGGGAGTTTCTGTACCAAAAATAAGTTTTCTCACCTTGTTAGGACGAGACCACCGTCTGGATTTCCCAGACCGCCGTCTCGCCACCTGCGAAGGGCGAGACGGTGGTCTCATGTCCCCAGACGGAGGTCTCGCTGCGTTTGACAGGACGAGACGGCGGTCTCGTTGGACGAGACGGCGGTCTCGACCCTGTCAGACGAGATGGCGGTCTCGACCCTGTCAGACGAGACCGGCGGTCTCGCCACCTGACAGCGCGAAAACCTATAAATAGGGGTCCTCCTCCCCTCATTTCCACACACCTCAAGCATTAGCTCTGCCTTCTCTCTAAAAAACTTCTCTCTAGAATCCCTCCGACGCATTTCCGGAGTTTCTGAGTGTCTTTGAGAGCATTTTTCAGCGTCCAGAAGAGTTTCCGGCGTCTTGTAGAGTGAAGGGCTGCCAAAAAGCACCCATTTATTTTAAAGAAATATAAAACAAAGCTTTCTTCAGAGGTTTAATTTCTCCCTCTCTACTTTTTCTGCTTTAATTTAAATTATGCAATAGATTAGGGCCATGTAGTCATAACTTTAAATTCCGCACAATAAAAAGGGCAAAAGCATATTTTTTGGTTTATTTATTAATAATAAAAGCTGGCCTATCATAGGGAACCCGAAAGGGGCGTAGTAAAGGAACTAATACTTCTTTTACA